TCTCTTGTACGGAATGCGCGCTCAGCACACTAGCCAGCATATTTCTAGACACTGTAACACAACTATAGCCACTGCTTGTGTTACGTGCACGGTGACGTTCGCATCTGCTGCTGTAACGTTTGGTTCTGCCGTTCGCCGAATTAAGTGATCAGCTCAGATTCACCGATTTATTCGAATAACTTGCGTGTTGAAAGCTGCGTCATTTATTGTGCCGGGCGTTTTTCGCGTATCAGCAGCTCTGTTTAGACAAACCAGCTGACGAGCTTTTGGAAGACATTGCCGGTACCACTCCACCATATCTGGTGCTGCCTTTTCGTTAGCTTTCTTGAAGCGGTCAACAGAGCAATCATGATAGAACCCTGTCCACACTGCGGTTAGTGGTAAACAGTGGCTCTCCAACTGGATGCAAGTGCGGTTTGCGTGCCCATGCTGATGTACAAGACGTTCACTAATGTTACGCCCATACGGTAACAGTAGTTACAGCTGTCCCGCGTCGCAACATGTAAATTTGTCGTTGTCCAAAAACCTCATCCGCCTAGGTTTAATGGCGCAGCCCGCGCCAATGTAGTATCTATTAAGGTGTTCTGTGGAAGTATCTCTAAACGTTGGCCCGCGCAGCCTACTTGTAGCGCATTGCTACTTGTAGCAGCCTGTAGCCGCAATATTGGGCTACAGGTGACAGCAGCAATTTTGGAAGATTTATTGTGATTTTAGATACATTATCATGAATAATTCTTGGTTGATCACGTAGTTTGCATGATTTCAGAACCTCTAATTTATTTTGCACTGATATTGAGCATTGATAGCCTGTTTTAGGTCTGTATTGGCCACCGCGCGATCGCGTCAGATCAGACAGTGGGTGGACGACACATACACATGAAATATAGATTAATATAGATTACGGTTATTGTTGAGCGGCAAAAAGACATCCATCTGACTCGTTATATATATATTTTTAGGGGTGTAATAATAAAAACATGAAAAAATCACCTTAGAACACAAAACGACTTGTCACTGAGGCCATAGAGTTTTCTGTGGGAAACTCTTCGACTCTGAGTTAATACACAGACTCTACAGGAAAAGCTCCCAATAGCGCCCATGCTGGGATAACCTCGTGGTGCACTTTCGTCGCTAACACTTACTATTTTGCTGCAGCAGAACTGTACAGTGCTGTAGCAACGCGCTTTTTTGCGTCCGCCGCAGCCACGAAGGCTATTTTCTTTATGAAAAAAAAGAAATATATATATATATATATATAGAGACAAATTTCACCAGACTTGCGTCACGAAAATGCGATGGCACTGTCTTGGTAGCGAAAAGACTGTCTACCGCAGTTTCTGCTGGGTTTTAAAAAACGGTATGCCGACGAGCTACATAGCAGTTGCAGTTGGATGTGAGTTGCGTCTCACAACTTAGTTTTGTTTGTTGGCGCACATCGCAGCCCTCAGCTACAGTGCCTAGAATATACTTACTAGTGCGCCGACCACCGAGCGTTTCCAATGGGAGACGCTAGCACTGCCGATGATGCCTTCCTCCGAAGGCCACCAGACGGCGACACCCTTGGGGACCGTACTATCCGAGTAGCGGGGCGCACCGTGCGAGAGCACGCGTCGCATGCGCTTTGGATGTACTTCGGATGCGAGTTTGTAAACCCAGTCAGTTGCGGTGTGGTTGAGGGGCATTTCTGCTGTTGCGCACATAGCACATGCCTCCGCCTGTCTTTGCCGTGCTTCTTTTCTGAGCGCGTTGTTCACGCTTGCGTCTCTTCACGAAACCGGGATGTCGTCGCAGAAAAGGAGGCGTAAGAAGAGCACCTCTTTTTTTTTTTTTCATATTGTGTGAGTGAATACTGCTCTAACAACGAGCGGATATTATTCAGCGCCCCTGCAGACCCAGAACGCTGAGCCAAATGGGAGAAAAACAAAAAGTGAAAATACCGAAGACGGTAACTGCGGCGGCTGTCGTTAGTGACAAACATTTTAGTGAATTCTACATTTAGCGCTCCTTGCGTTCCTTCAAAATTACAGCCGATGGTGTTATCAGTGCAATTACCCGTGAAAAAGTCAAACCAAAAATTTTTATTCATTTTATTTGCAACTCTCTCGATTTCTTTTCACGGCCAAGATGATTTTTCATTTAAAAAGGTGACGCCGACACCGGCATATCCACGAAATGAGCTCTTTAATGCTGTTGCATTAATATTCATTCTTTTCTTGCACTAGTCGACAATGTCAGCATCTGTACCGGGTGTTTCAATCAGCAAGTCCAAAATCCTCGAAAATGAAGAACATTCGATGTGTGCTGTAGCACTCGTAGCTTATTAGTTATGAAAATAAACTAGTTACGCTTAATGAGTTAAGCTAGCGTCAACGTCAATAGAGTATTGAAGCTCACGCGAAAAACTCATCCTACCTTTGAGCAATAGAAAAATTGGCTTATAATAAATTTGACATAATTAAATCAACCAAATGCCGCGAGTATCACTGTTAAATTTTATTGAACTTCCTTACAGTTTTCCTTTTTCCTTGAAAACCACGCATATTCATTCATTTATTGGTAATTTTTTATCAAACACTCGATTTCGTGTACCGTATTAATGATAAATAAATAAAATTAAAATGCTTAGTTGGGCTTAAACCAATGTCCTGCACGAGCTGTGTTAGCAGACTACACCACAGCTGCCAATCAGTTTCGACGAGTTTAACCAGCCGGTTTTGTATTGTCACGCTGGACGTAACTAACTTGTTTTATTTTTACGTCTGGACGTAAATTTAACGGCTTCTATTGTTACATCTAGACATAACGCTAGACACACTGTTTTCACAATGTTCATAGAAATTTCCTGGTTAAGGCAAAAAAATTTTGTTTTGTGAATGCTGCGCAGAGTAACTTTTTTTCTAAATTACTTAGGCAGGAGCTTCAGATGTGAAACTTGACGCACAACTCAAGTAAGTACATCTGAAATTTTCACGCAATCAGAGAAGGTGTGCAGCTAGAACACATTAAAGTGCACTCAATCACCCGTCCTCATGGTTGCTTTAATTGAGACACACTAATGTCCAAGTTACGCCGCTGCAATCGAGCTGTCCGCGTGCACGGCGGCCGCACCGACACACCCACGAGGGAGGAGGCTGGGGAGGATACTCTCATCAGCGGCATTCCTTATGGAGGCCAGTGATCTACCGCGGGATTCATACTGATCGCCCTACTTATTAGGGGACAAAGCCCGCGTACGGCACTCTCTATAAATTATTATAGTGGGCAAATTCACATCCAATAAAACGACATTGTGCACGTTAAAGTAACCAGCAACGCCCGCTCTACTTGAAATTTTCTGCGATAACTTATGCAATCAATTGCGAAACGAAAAATTATTTCTAAAAATTGCATTCCATTGGCTGTAACACATTAGCAACTTATCAGATGGTCAAATATCGGTGCACAAAGCGTCCAACCGAGCTAGAAACCAAGCGGTAGAGTGATTTCGGTGACACACCCCAAAAACCGCGTCGAGTGCGATGATTGTGCAAGCGATTAATGCATTCCAGATGGCTTACCTGCGCCAGATCTTGCTTCAAAGAGCACAAATCGCATAAAAAATCCGCTGTTCAATTGAATATGCACAAACTGCAGTACAACAAGCAAATGCGCATTTCCGTCTCAGGTGAGTTACTCGCTATTCGACCACGATCCCGGAAGACCGGCCACGAACCGTTACATGGCCGGGGTAGAACATTGAGAAGAAGCCCCCTTAACGCTGTCAAACTAATACTTAGCTCCCATGTCTGATCGTTTTTCTGCCTCTAAACTGCCTTCGGGTAGCACAGAAGAAAGATGCACGCACAAGAAATAAGTATTCACAAAATGGAGCGTCAAGAGTTTCGCTCAGCTACAGCTCGGCAACATGCGAGTAAGGTCACTGCAGCGAGCCCTCGTGGATTTGACACACCCCAGCGCCTCACCCGCGCCGGAAAACAGTTCATAGAAAACCTGTCCGCATAGAGACGTGCGACAAAAGCCGTCACTCGAATCATTTTATCGAGAGAAGCTAGTTTTTTTTAGGACGAATGATCGAACTGAACATCCCCAATCAGGGCGTTGCCAGCCGTACTGCTATCACCTCCACAACCACCACTACTGCTTCACGCTACCAATATTTGCTAATATGGTTACTAGAGAGGGACACGCTATTCCTCATACAAGCATCAGAACATGTTCTCAAAGTGCGCAGACTTACTTTCGAGGGCAAACGTGAGATACCCACCGGTATTGATCACCGAAAAATGGCGACACTCGGCGAGGTCAATCCGCAGCACCGGCCGTGCAACGACGCTCAGTCTGCTGGCGCCGGGATTTTTTGGTTCTAGTTTTTGTTTCCGCGTGCGCCGCTTGGTGACACTGGCTTCCTAAACCTACTTTTTGATGTCTTATAAAAAAGAACCTTGTGACAAGATTTTTAATATATATGAAACATTTATCACGTTGTAGATTGTTGTTTCAACTCGCAACTCAACTTTATAAATTTATATGTACGAGCTTACGAACTGGAGCGATTGGCAACCTGCATTTTACAGGTTTTGTGTTAGTTTTCTCTTCAGCCATGTCGTCAGCCAAGTTGTGTTGCTGTGCTGCTGAAATGTGCCCGTGTTATAACTTGACGTGAGAAATGTCGCGGCGGCTGTTTTGTCGACAAACGAAGTATAAACTCAATTGATTTCTCTCTCGCGTCTTCTTTCTATCAAAGTGAGGACATAACGCTTTTTTGTGCCAAGTGTCAGCCCGGCTCGTGCGGAGCGCCGGAATTGTGAGGCGTTGACCTATTACTGCTGTTCGGCCACTGTCCTGGAGGTGTTGCCGTAATTTTGTTGCTCTAAGGACAACCCTCCAGGTGCAGGAACTTTATATAACGTGGTTTTATTCGATGTCGTCTGTTGAAGTCGCCGAATGAGCGCCAAAAGGGCTAGGGAAGGCTGCGTTGTGCCATGTAAGACCCGAGGAATATGAACGATATTCGTTGCTTTCGAAGCACCATGGGCGAAATACTGCACACTGATCTGGACAGTTCAGCGTCGCCCGCGAGGCTGGAGTATACATCCGAAAAGCATTCTAGGCACACTCTTGAAGCCATAAATCTGCTTCGGCTGCATCGAGAGCTTTGCGACGTCGTTTTGCTTGTGGGAAACAGGAAGATATTCGCTCACCGAATAGTGCTGTCGGCATGCAGTCCATATTTTCACGCAATGTTCACCGGGGAATTGGCAGAAAGTCGGCAGACAGAGGTAAGGCCTGTTGTTTCGTTTGCCTATGGAATAAAAGTCCTGTTAGTTTAATTGTCAAAACTACTGTGCTGTAAAAATAATGCGACATCTAAAGACCTGGAACCCCGTCTCGCATGCACTGTGAGCGTGTTTGAACGAATGTGCGATGCAGATCGAGCGTTGCTGCATGAAACGCTCTCGACATCGATCGCGCGCCGCGTGGAAACATTCAATATGGGACCGAAGTGTTGGAAGATCCAAACGCTGCTTGTGAAAAAACGACATACCACATAATCGCGAGGTGTTCATAACCATATGCGGCTTGTAATTTCTGAACTGCTAAACCAAGCATCATATATGCAACTTGTTAGCAAGCTGAGGAGTGTTATTTTGGAAGAGATAAGACATCAAATTACTTGACCTGTGTAGTGTTGCCTGTGTTTTTCTTTGTTTTTTTACCATCAAGAATCTTTCATTTGAATTCGCAGTGTTTGTATGCCTTTTCACGTCTACAATCTGACCTTTTGCAAACGGCATGCTGTTATTATCAAGCATTGTCTTCTGTAGCCAACTCTGGTGAAGATAATGTTTAGTGCTGAAAGGTACCCATTCAGCAGTTCCAGCACATGCAGTTCATTTATTGGCAAATTTTTCTTGACAACTGCTGGAGAGACTCCTTTTGTGCACTTCATACGTATTGTAAATTGCAGGACTGGTGTCTTTGTAAAGGGGCTACTGATTAGATTTCTTTTGAAAAATACTTTAAGGAAAATACTGTCAAATCTCAACAAAATTTTGTTATAAGAGTGAATTCACAAGAAAAAAAAACTTGGAATGAAATGAAGCAAGTTATGGGCGAGTTGGATTTCATTGATACTGCACAGTTATTGTGCAAATTTATGACACAACTGAACAAAGCAGACATAGACAGAGAGAGCAATTATTGCACTCAGTGCCATTCAATAAATCAAAAAATAATTTTAACGAAGTGCTCAAATTGTGAGGTCAGTAGCGTTGTGTGAGAAAGAATTTATGTGTTTGGAAAGTTGAGCGTGCATGCTGACTAGAGGCAATCATTCAATCAGTTTTTTTTTTACCTCTACCCTCTCTTGTTCATTCACAATAGTTCACACTAGTGTGCCAACATGGGCCTTTAGTATGCATTACTTTGCCCTGAATGTCGTGTGTTATTTTGCGCCAAGCACTGCATTTTCATTATGTTAGTCAAGTACTTTGGAAAATCTCCAACTGGCCCAATCCATCACACTTCAGTGGTGCTAGAGCTATGCTCGCCATGTTGTCAGAAAACTATGTTTTTGCAGGTCATAAGTTGGAAACACAGCCAAAAAATTTATAAAGTTCAGGAAACAAATACATTTACATAGTAATGTTGCTGAATGTTATTTGCCATATTGTATTTTTGGCATTGCTTGGTCCGAAGCATCCTTGGCATCTTTCACAACTTGGACAGTACTCTTACCAAAATTGAATGGGAAGGCACAGGAGTACAAAGGATGCAAATCTACCATTGCTTGTCTCAAATACAGGAGCTTGTATTGTTGAAGGGAATAAAAGTGCAGTTTAGCATGTGATAAATTTTGTCTAGTATAAAATGTTCTACCTAAATAAATTACATTTGTTGATAGGTTGCATATGTGCTTTATGTTCAGAAGTGTACACAGTTAATGCTCATTTATTCTATGGTTGTATATTTCGCTATTATTTCAAGTTGCTTTTGGTTGCAGTGCTGTGAGAGTCTATGTGAATGAGGTTACACGGTCGCCGTGGTGGTCTAGAGGCTAAGGTACTCAGCTGCTGACCCGTAGGTCGCGGCTTCGAATCCCGGCTGCGGCGGCTGCTTTTCCGATGGAGGTGGAAATGTTGTAGGCCCATGTGCTCAGATTTGGGCGCACGTTAAAAAACACCAGGCGGTCAGAATTTCTGGAGCCCTCCACTACGGCGTCTCCCACAATCATATGGTGGTTTTGGGACGTTAAACCCCACATATCAATCAATGGAATTGCTATGATATTTTTATACTCTTGTCATCTGAAATAGAAGCTTAAGTCATGAGTTATATTGGTTAAATTTTACTGCATTGAGTGGCTGCTTGATTATTCATGCTTATGATCTCATTTCATCTAGGTCACGATACGAGATATAGATGAGCATGCAATGGAGCTGCTTATGGACTTTGCTTACACATCACACATAGTGGTGGAGGAAGGCAACGTGCAGATGCTGCTGCCAGCGGCCTGCCTCTTGCAAATGGCGAAATTCAAGATGTCTGCTGTGAGTTCCTCAAAAGGCAACTGGACCCAACTAATTGCCTTGGCATTCGTGCATTCGCTGACACACATTCGTGTCGTGAACTTCTGCGTATAGCAGACAAGTTCACGCAACACAACTTTCAAGAGGTATGTCTATGACTTCTTTGCTTTTGAACGCTCTGCCTTTATCATACGTGTACTTTAATGTGACTTACGTGCACTTTAATGCAACTAACACTGGTATAAAAAATACGGTAAAATTATTTGAAAGAACCTAAACCGAATTTCAGTTTTATAATGCCACTTGAATACTGCGAAAAAGATGAAAGTAACACAAACATGCATGAACTTAAAGGACCCCAAATAGGAAAAATGACATGGTTTAGATTGATAAACTGCACCATGAAGTTTCACTATCATAAGTTCATTATTAGCGGAGAAAATCAAGGTGTAAATTTCGTTTCTAAATTTCATGCGCGATCTCTGCATGTGACTTCAAAAATATCAAAATGTATTTTTTGTATTTTTACTAACTTGACTATAAAATTTTCTGAAACTTCGTATGCTAAGGCTATGGCACCTATAGATGACAATGTGCTTCATTTTTATCGTTTAGAAGCTACAAAGAACTCCGTAGACGCCGTCAAAATCTATGACATCACAATTTTTGTGAAGCAGTCCTTTAGGTAACGTCTCCACCCGCATTTTATTTTCGCGCATCTTCTAGGTTAACAACTGTTACCTCGGGGTAAGAGTGGGCTTTTCAGGATTGTGAAATTGTACTGTACTAATACGCAAAAAATTGTTTTTCTCTTTGGTGTTCCTTTAGAAATCATAAAAACAAAAAAGGTCGCTTGTGTGTGTCATTAAAGATATCTTCCTGTTCTTCTTGGTCAGTGGGTTATGCCCTCACTTTTAATGTCATGACTACATATAATATAGACTGTATTGTAACCAGCTGCTGAAGCACCATTCTGGTGCATGCCAGAGTTATATGGTAGAGTAATTGAGATCTGTCATCAGCGTAGATTCTGTTGAAATGCAGCGAACAGAAAAGCTATCAGCCTTGTGGGTTCGTCCGTGTTGTTTCAGTGGTACATACTACTCACCCAAAATAAATTTAGTGTAAGTGATATTCTGCTGCAGTTCATCTTTAAGTTATTAATGCCTATTTTAGGTGCAACCTCTGCTCCCTTCTTTTATTATGAAACAACTGGTAGAAAAATTGACACTGAAAAAAGAACTACGTATTTGCCATTTTCATGGTGTTGGGAATTGTGCATTAACATGCGCCTTTCAAAAATATGGTGGCAGCATTCGAAAGTAGGTTCTTGGTAGCATTAGTTTTTTTTTTTTAGTCGTTTGTTATCTTTGCAAGGACTTCGGAATAGAAAACATACCATGCTTCACATGTTTCCATGGCATTCATTTTGGTAGCTAGTGTACTGTCGCCTATTGACTAGTGCGCGCTCGTCACCTGAAAACTGTAGTGGGATTGTCGCATCCTAATCGGTTTCACCGCAGAATTATAACTACTTGATGGTTTTGATCTTCTTGATTGTCTGCATCTCTCATTTGTTGAATTGTTGTTGGTTGTTGAATTGTTTGTGTTTTTTTATGCATTACAACAGCCCTTATTAAAGTATGTGCTAGCTCACTTCCAGTTTCTGCTGTCCACATGGAGGTGTTTTATTTTAAAGGGCTGTGACGACAACTTGGCGATCGGTGACGTCAACGTCACCGATTGCCAAGTTGACGTCACAGCGTGTGAAAGGAGGTTGGTCAGGCGTAGGAAAGATAAGCGGGCTTGTTTGGGGGGTGTAATAAAAAAGGCAGAGCCTGTTGACTGGCCCCTTAAGTTAGGTTTGTTGAACAAACATTGTGCTTATAAGTTGCCAACCAAAGTTTTTACCCCTGTTGTACCTATGTCACATTTTCATTAAACCAATTTTCATTTTTCCAAAATCCATTGTATCTGAGGGACAGCCATATGTTTTTTCAAGGATGGTGTTTCAAACTCCCTTTATGAATGTTTGTGTGTGTGTACGTACACATACAAAATGTTAAAATCTCATAGTGTGGGCTGCTGGAGCCATAGAGTTTCCTAAAACAGCGACCATGGGAATGATGGGTAGTTCACGGATTTGCCTAGTCTTCATACTTGCGGCGAATCGCACTTGTAGCTTCGTTTATTGCTGTGCTTCGGTTTCGTCTTGAAGGAAAGAATGAAGCCTTATGAACTTGGTGACCTGATTAGAAATAGTAAGCCTAAAAGAATAAGGTGGTGAAGCTGTTTGTTCTTTTTTGTTTCGTGAGAAAACAGCTTCAAGCCACACAAACACACACGGAGCCGAAAGTGCGAAGATTAGACAAATCTGTGTACTACCCATCATTCCCATGCTTGCTGAAGCGCCGGGCATTGCAGCTCTCATAGACGCTTGCGCCAGAGTTTCCTCTAGTGTATATTTAGGGAACTCTATGGCTGCAGCCCTTCAAACAACCACCTGGCCGTGTCACTGGACGTAGTTATGAGAGCAGCTGATGCTCTTACGTGATGGACCTTGGGTTTCTTAGAGATAATTGTCTGTACCTACTGTATGAAGGAAGAAAAAGTTCATGTTTGCTGCCTTCACACCTTCATTCAATTATGTGTGCTTACTGCTTGTTTGGTGCTCTAATATCTTACGACAAATGCCTTCTTTTTTTTTATTGCAGGTGATGGAAAGCGAAGAATTTCTTCTTTTACCTGTCAACCAGTTGGTGGACATAATATCAAGTGATGAACTTAATGTCCGGAGTGAAGAACAGGTTTTCTCGGCGGTCATGTCTTGGGTTAAATACAATGTTACAGAAAGGAGACAGAACTTAGGACAGGTGAGAGTGTTCATTTCTCATTCTTCAATATACAAAATATAACTAGACAAGGACACTGAGATGCTAAGTCAAGCCGAATCGATAACAGAAGCCGTTTCAATCAGCGCTTTCGCTGGGATCAGAGCTTCATAAATAGTGATGTAAACATAAGATATAATTGCTTTTACTTTAATGGTGCCAGCACCCGTAAACATTCACTATATTGTAATTAGCGATTTGTAGTCAGCCACTTATGTAAGAAATGTTATGAAACTTCTCACAAAATGAAACTTCAAGATTTAGTAGTTTGCTTCTGTGTGGGTGGAATTTTGTAACAAAATGAAACCTGAGTGCAAGTAGAGGTACCAAAGTGTATTTTGGAACAACTGTTGTGGCTCTCGGCGCTGCTCACCAGTTGTTGCGGGTCTCAGCACTGTTTCCAGCAGTCACTCCGAATCCCAGCGCTGATCACCAGTTGTTGCGGACCGGGGGTCTGCTTGGTCTTTTGTGGTAGCGTGGTGTAGCTTCGGGTTGAGGAAACAAATGCTGACAAGATGAGGATACAAAAACAAACAGGTTTATGGCACTATTTACAATTATTTACAGCATAGAAAGGTTAGGAGCCACAACTACGAGCATGGTGGTTGAACCGTTACATGGTTCAGAGCGACGTCCAGCACTCTGCGACGTCGTTTTAAGCCCTGTCGGGCTCCTCCTTGAGTGGAACACCAATCACACACACAACAGGCGAGGGGTACGAGCATGCACGGCCCACGTGAACATCCAGTATTGAGTCGTGATCACTGCACTGCAAGGTGGCGCCAGCGGGGCTCTTCCTCGTCGTGTGTGTGCCGCTGGTCGAGGGGTTCCAAGCTCCTGACAGCATACATCAAACGGTCCGCCGATCTGTTAGCTCAATTAGCAGGGCAAATAGCGACGGCGGCCACGGTTTCTTCCAAGGAAGATGCCGTCCTTGTTGTCCTCTCTGGAACGGCTTACGGCATCGTGGCGACACGGCGTCTCGTCCTCCGGCTAGCAGGAACAATACCTGGCGGGCATAGGCAGCCGGCCAGTCAGCTACTTGTTTGAGGATTAAAAAGAGCGCCGCTCCCCCGTCAGCTCTGGCACTGGTCATAACACAAAATAAACTAAAAGGTGCATTTTGTTGTGAACTTAGAGTGAGAAAAGAACTTTGGCAAGCAACCTTAGAGCCATACTTTTTTGTATTTCTAAAACGGTAGACTCTTGTTAAGGGGACCCGGAAACGATTTTTTGAAGTTTTGTCAGTGTTTAGGCTAGAGCATCATCAAACCATTCGCACCACAAATTTAGTGACATGCCGTGTACCAAGGCTGCTACGAACAATTATATCATATCCTGCTTCTCACCTCTGTCGAGGCACGCTGGCATCGCTGGCGAACGCAGTGCTCTCGTGAGCGTGCCCAACGATTTGAGCTTTTACCAGTCTAGCCTCCAAAATCGCACCCCGACAAGTTGCGCGCAGTTTCAGAAGCCATTGAATAGTGTAGATGGCAGCACTAACGCCATCTAGCAGCAGTGACGAAAATTGCAGAGTGGTTCGTATCTGCTCCAACCCTACCAGCCGATCTTACTTCCGTGCATTCTGCAGCCCATGACAGCCAATCAGATCAACAGCTTCGGTGACGTGGCTGCTGACGTGCTCTGACCGAGATGTAGCTCTGTGTACGGGCGGTTGAAAACGCGTTTGACCGAGTTACGGTCATCTGCACCTATCTGCGGCAATTCGCAGCTTTAAAGCATTGTAATGAATTACACAGTTTACGCAGATAGCTCAAATCGATCTAAATAACCTTCGGGACTTGGTCTACCAGCCCAATGTGTTTGTGCAAAATCGCCAAGACCGTTTCAGGGTTTCTTTGAACAGAACTTGAAAAAACCAGGCAAATCTGTTCTATTTAACGTTAGTTTCGTTTAGTGAGAGATGAACAGGGTTGCAGAATAAAAGTACTAAGCCAGTCATATCGGACAGAGTTCCATTTAAGCAGCAATACTATTTAACAGATTTCTGTTTACTGAGAGTCCACTGTACTCCCAAAGCCTCAAGGTATCTTCTAATAAAGTTGATAGAATAAAAAGCAAAATGAAAGTTACTGGGCATTTTGTTAAGGTTTTGCTGCAACTTGTAGTGGCATTGAACTTTATAAGGTTGTACAAATTCTTGCAGGTTCTTCAGCATGTCCGGCTTCCTCTGCTGAGCCCTAAGTTTCTTGTGGGCACAGTTGGCTCAGATCTTCTCATTAAAAGTGATGAAGTATGTCGTGACTTGGTTGATGAAGCCAAGAATTATCTGTTGCTGCCCCAAGAAAGGCCACTCATGCAGGGCCCTCGCACGAGGCCAAGAAAGCCTGTGCGTAGAGGTGAAGTCCTGTTTGCAGGTAACGCTTCTTATGTATAATTTTTTTAAGTTTTCCTAATTTTTTTCAGTGGTGTTCTCTTGTTGTCAAAAAGACATTGCATTTTCACTTGGCTAATATTGGCAGCTTTGTGCAGTGTCTTGTTAGTTTGGTACAGATAGTGCCACATTATTCTTCATAGCCTGTGTTACATTTATGTCTCACCTTCAAAAGCCTGCAGGCCATCATGACCATGATGGGCTTGCACCACAGCAGCTTGTTCTTGCTCGCCAGCAGACACTACAGCATAGGCCAACGAACTCACTCATGAGTCGACTCACTCAGACTCAGATTGAGCCATGAGTCTGGGTCAGTAATGTTTCCGTGGATCTGACTCCTAGTGAGTCCACTTGAACAAAGTTGTCGGGAGTGTGAGTCCGAGTGAGTACAACTCAAAAAAACTTTTAGTGAGTCTGAGTCCGAGCAAGTCCAAGCCGCCATATATATTTCTTGAGTGAGTCTGAGTGAGTTCTTTTGCTGAACTAGTCATCTTCAGCATTACTATCAGCCTTACCTGGATCCCTGTTTATACTCATGTCTACTCATGGGTATTCCTAAGCAGTGTCGTTCATACATCGTTTCATAATTTTTTGATCAGAAACACGAATTATGTAGGATGTGCCTGGACCTCCAGCCCACCAACATGTCAAAAAAAGTTTTTGATAAAATATCTCCTGCTGTCATCTATTCAAGAAAAGGGGCCTTACTGATTTGTAGCACTCAAAACTCGTTTCCGAAGATATCATGTGAAGCGGCTCCAAGAGCACCGATTACATGAAATATTGGTGTTAAAGAGCACTGATGCCACGATCGCGAAGAAGCTAATTCTAGGCTAATGGACTTGTGAGTCGACTCACTTGGACTCATTCAGACTCAGATCGAACAGTAAGTCGGAGTCTGAGTGAGTATGTGGGAGTATTATCTAGGTGAGTTTCAGTTCGAGCGGATCTGGTTGAAATGAATTGCCGTGAGTGTGAGTCTGAGTAAGTCCGGCTCAGAAAAATTTTCGCGAGTCCGAGTCCAAGCGAGTCCAGAACTCAAATGCATTTCATGAGTGAGTCCGAATGAGCTCCACCAGTTTTGCCGACCTATGCACTACAAGCATGTCTGCTGAAAATGAGAATGCTTTCCTCACCCTTTTCCTGTTACTGATAGCATAGTTGTGCAGTATAAATGAGCCCCTGGTTTCTTCATAGATAGGTTCACCTTGCAGGTAAAAAGGGGAGTAGGCATAATGGTTCTGTTGCTACCCTTGTGACACTTTTGACAAACACATGGCATGTTCAAGGCATACCTTGATATGCTTACCTTATCTGCCATTTCTGAGAACTACAGCTTGTGCGACAGTAACCGCCGTATTCATGAACCGACCTTAACTTATGGCGGTAAAGCTACTTATGAAAGGACGAGAAAAGTATAAATATAAGAAAAGTACAAGGTGCGTTTCAGAAACATTCCTTATCCTGTCATAAAGTAACTCGCCAAGTATAGCCCCTGGGTGCGAGGATAAGTAAATTTTCGCTACAAAATCATTACCTCAAGCAGCAATAAATTAGCTTCACTGCAAGAAACCAACAACAGTAGGCACAGAAGCAACCAAACATAAACAGTAGGAATGTTTGTTTAGGGTCCAGCAGCTGTTGGTAAAACACACGTTTTTCGTCTGGCCACTTTTCTGCAATTCCCGTCGACGCAGGTCACTTTCGTTATTTCAACGTCTTGTGTATGTTTTTGCTGTGTTTGGTGGTGGTGTCATGCTCGCTTCAGCATTTGCTGTTTTCTTTCACTTTTTTTTAAAATTTCACTAGATTTGTTTGATAGTTTCAGCCGTTTTACAGCTTTTTTTACAAAGTTGCATTTATTGTGGAACAGTGCACTGAAGATAACTTCACCCGTGAAGTAGCTATGTCCTGACGGATTTTGTGAATAAGTACCAAGACGGATGCCGTGCGCCTTCAGAGAAAACGAAAAACGTGGAAGCAGCTCGCGATAGAATTCAACAGCCAACCTACTGAGCATATGTGAACGGCTGACCAAACAACTAGAAAAGTGTTTACGCCACTTCGAGAAGTTTTACCAGTACTAGAGAAAGTGTTTTTGCAAGCATAGCGGGTATCTGCTCGACTGTATATTCATGACACAGCCGGCTACAAGACACTGACAAGGCCATCGCTCCCAAGTTGAAACGTGCTGACTCCATAAAAGTGCGATGTGATTAGCAGCTGCATGAGGTGGGGCACAAAGAACCCAGAACTATGGATGGATATTTTCCTGCAGAAAGAGTGCAGCGTGCAGATTTTTTACGACACTTTTTGTGAAGCGGGGGTGGCACGACAATTCCTGCTTGTCGTAGGTCTCAACGAGCTTCCATCGATGGTTGAGAAGTTGCCGTCGCGGTGACGTGTACGTGTGTGATGTGCCATTCAATATTTTTTCTTTGCGGTCCACATTGTAAATGAAATACGCAAAGTTGTTGCCCCCCGCCCTGTTTAGGAAGCCTTACGGTAGGTCATAGGCTACCTTAACTGAGCCTTACTTAAGTACAAGAAAAGTTTCTCAATGAGTACAAGGTAGGTTCTTGAAATGCGTTAAAGGCGGACTTATGGCTAAGGTTAAGGATAAGGTTAAGTTTATGATTACGGGGGTAAGGCACTAGGTCATTTCTCTGGAGACCCAGGTACAAAAAGACCCGTGAGAGTGTGTTGAGGCATTAAAGGTGAACATTTTAAAGAAGCATTCTTTCGGTGAAACAGTGTGCTCAAGCTTTCTTTAGCTATAGTCCTCAACAAAGTGTCTATGGTCACCTAACAACGATACTCACAAAACTTTTGCTGTTGAAAAACACAAGTGCACCCTTAGTTCTATTTCAAGATAAATCTTCATTTGTTTTAGCATGCCTTGTTCTCTTTACACTACCCCTCCTTGTTAACAGGCTAATAAACTGTAGTGTTAGAGTTCAAAACAAACTGATGCATAAAGACCAACTGCAGTGGCATTTCATTTTGACTAAAGTTTTGAATACATTTGTTTCTCTGTTGTAGCTTGCTGTTGTAAAGGCCTCTAGGCTATTGGTAGCGTATGAATAAAATTCTCTGCCACTGGTTTATGGACCAGGCAGGCTTCATATCATTGGGTTATCTTTCTTAAAGGAACACTTTTTCAGAATGGTCAGAAAATGTTGCCTATTGGCAGTCAAGGCCAAGCATTAAGGCAAAGTACGTAGCCTGAAATTAACAATTTATTCTAAAAAGTTGCCTATAAATGGCTGCCTCTTCTCTCTACAAATGATGCCATAAGTCCATGGCTGTTCGCTGATTTGAGCATTGTGAGGTGCATAGTTAGCTTGGCTGCTGCAAGATGGTGCCACATGCTTTTGCTCGTGGTCACTTTGAACATAAGCCGTGCGTTTGAAGAAAAATTGAAAGGAAAGTCCTCAAGGTCATGACACACGCTGTCGAAGGGACACATCTGCTAGCTCCCTTGTCATCCATGTCCCGGCATAGCTCTTATTGTGCTTGCCAGCATGAAAGAAGAGAGAAAGCGCTTAAAGTGTGCGGCAAATTCTTATAACTCTGCTCATATTCGTTGGATTCTAAAGATTTTCTAGCAGTCCATTGATGAAGCAATGAGCTCTTTTACTAAAGCCATTAGATGAATACTTAGAGTGGAAGGGCCCTTTCAACACGTGAATTTCAACTGCAACACATACACCCTGAGGCACAAGAGGAAGTCAGGGCTGATATCTCCATTCAGTGTCTATCACTGTACAAGTTGCACTCAATGAGTGCATTGTTGCTAACTTGTAAGAGTGTTTTTTTTTCTGTATGTACTGTATGACAGGCTGTTCTCAACTGTGCATTCATTCTTGTGCCAAAATAGTGTTTTTTTTTCTTGGCCTTTTAACACAATTAACAGTGTGTGTTTTCTGAGCATTATGGGTAGTATTTGTTTTTATACATCAATTCTGCATATTGATAACCTAAATGCATGGTCAAGTCAATTTAGAAGGACAATTAGTAGTAGCAATAACAATGGCTTCAATATCATAACTCTCATGGCACCTTCATTGTTGCGCCATTATAATTATACTGCCATGGGCTGTTATTTCATAGATGCACAAGTTTTGTTTATATTCAGTTTTGTTTATATTTAGTTTTGTTTATGTTACCATGAATAGTTTTGTTTATGTTACCATACAGTGAAAACTTAGTTTTTAAACAACACTGCCTGAAATGCTTTCTGAGCTAATGTAATCGTTACTGTTTTGCTAATCCCTTTGCGCAAAATTAAGTTTAAAGCAGCTGGTTGTACAGAAAGGTCAGGTTGGTAAAATAAAAAAAAAAGTTCCTTTCCTGTGTCTTTTTTTTTCACTGGAAAGTCGTTCTGATTTATTCAATGTAACTTTTTTCTACTTCAGTCGGTGGATGGTGTAGTGGTGATGCTATTGCCAGTGTGGAACGCTACGATCCTCAGGCCAACGAATGGCGGATGGTGGCCCCGATGAGCAAACGTCGATGTGGTGTTGGTGTTGCAGTACTAAACGACCTTCTTTATGCTGTTGGCGGTCATGATGGCCAGTCATACCTTAACAGCATTGAACGGTTAGAGTTTCTCATATTGCTCTTAAGCCATTGTTAATTAAGAATAATACTACTGTGGCTCATTGAAATGAACAATTTGTAGCATTGACAAATTAATGAAATGGGTTGAAATGGGTTGAAAATTCGTCAGAAGTTGCTTCTGTGCTCTTCTTGCATGAGTCTAAAAAGAAGGTACTTGGCATTCTTTCAGCAGCATTACGTAATGCTTTGTTTCTTTTACTGCAACATAACCCTTTCATTCCTGGAATTTTTATTTTTGTTAGAGACGTTTTTAGGTACATATAAAAGGTTACATTTAAAAATAATTATTTTGCAAAAACTATCTTCTGACAGTTGTGGTGGATTCTTTTTGTGTTGTGCTAGTGCATCAGAACACACACAAAGTAATGGAGTTATTGATAGTCAGAGCAACATGTCAGTTCCTTTCAACAGGTGAATTGAGTAGCTTCATGTTTCAGCATATTATAATTTCGAGTGTACTTAGAGCAGTATAGTCTACAGAGGTCTAATATTCAAGTTCTGTATTAAGTCTTTGAATGTCAATATAGTTCTGCAAGTCAACTAGTAAGACCTGTACAACAGTAAAAAAGTACATTAAAAACAAACTTTAAGAAGTAATTTACTATTCAAAGTTGGTTCAACTTCCTCTGAACAACAGCAACAACGAAAATCACACTTGCACATGCTTTGTTAGATTTTTTTTATATTGTGCAAGTTTTTTGGGTCATGAATGTTTATTTTTTTTTTATAGCATGTGATATAGACTACTCGGATTCGATTAGAATTCGCTTTGAGCATAAATTTAGCTATTTGCACAAGTCTATTGCTTGTTAACCTGTAGTCTCCGACCCACTGTGGCATGCATACCTCATACCCATATGATTGTTCTGGCAGGTACAATGCCAGAATTCATTTATTATGGTCAATTAACCCAACCTTTCATTCTTGTACTTTACCCAGTTTTGAAATGTTCCTTTGCACTGTTAAACATGCCATTGGTGAAATTTATTAAGATTTTAGTGCTAAGTTGTGCCTCTGGCTAAAATAAAAATGAGAAAATGTAATTATAGCTTTGACTTGTGGGGGAGAACTGTACCATTGTGCTGGTATTATGGTCTCCAGGTCAGATAGTCTGTGTGGAATAGTCATATTGCAGATTTGGTAATGTAAAAAGCATAGCCGACATTTTTTATATTAGGGAAAGACATAGTGTTTTAAGTACACTTTAAATGAAGGGAAATAAATTCCCTTGTATTGAAATTATAACAAGAGTTGACTTTATATTGGGCCTATCCAATTTTAGTGAGACCACTACTTAATTACAATGCAGTGCTCAGAGCTTCACTGCTGTTGTGCACATGTTATAGCTTGATGTTTGTGTTTCAGTTCAGATTAATCCATGCTTCAGATAAGTCTGAAATAAACCACTGTCAAATTCAAGCTAACCTTAACTTGGAGAAATGTATTCTAGGCTCATTTGACTTGCTACGATTTGGAATTATGCTGAGAGTATGTTTGTCTGGCTTTTTTTTTATACCGCAAAAAACAATCATGTTGTGTAATTGTGCACTGTTATTTATGCTGTGAGCTCTACGTGTATCTTGTCAAAACATCATTTTATCTTTGTTGTAGGTATGATCCCCAAACAAATCAGTGGTCAAGTGATGTTGCCCCGACAAGCTCCTGCCGTACAAGTGTTGGAGTGGCTGTACTTGATGGTTACTTATATGCTGTGGGAGGTCAAGATGGTGTGTCATGTCTCAACTTCGTTGAAAGGTGTGTGTGCTACTTGGTGGACCTATTTGAGTAATACAATTTCATGAGATTAAGAAGTACCAAAAGCGTGTGACATTAGCTTGCTGAAGAAAATTTTTATTCGTACTTGTTTAAAGCTACCGTTACTTTCATGCATGTAAATTGTATTTAGTGACTTGAGTCTTGTTGTGTTCAATTATAAGATGAGTACAGTAGTGTGTCATCAAGTGAAATGGTAGATAGAGGTGTATGTCAGAAAAGTAGCTTGCGAGGAAGCAAGAATGTATCTCTATCCTTTTGAACGTGACAGTGCACACATTCAGATGTATGTCCCTGGCACACATATCACCTTGAGAAGATTTTAAAGCACATTAGGTGAGTTTTGATGACTTATAATTCAAACTGAACTCACAACAACAAATGAGTGTCTTTAGTAAATTGCCATTTTTTTTATTAAGCTGCACAAAGTCTCGTGTGGTGAAAATTTTTCACTTTTGGTAATGCAGCATATCGCTACTTAATTTTACTGAAATGGGATTCTTGTTTGATAACAATTTGATGTGACTTCTCCTGTTACCAGTTTGTGTGTAGTGTGGGTGTGGTAAATGTACCTGTATTTTATTCATAGGTACTTCAGTTTTGCTGCTTTCTAATCTATGAGACAGGTTGAAATAAAAAAAAACACATTGTAAACACGAAAATGAGTGTAGTAAATATTGGCAGTGTAAAACTAGCATATTTTACCTCATGGGTGTCATACTTCTTGATAAACGAAAGCCTATGAACCCTTTGATACTGAAATTGCAGAGAACATAGTAAGGCAAGTCGAATGTTTGATTTCCATGTGCTCTTCATGGACCATTAATGAAAATAATCAGACCCTTTCCATGTCAAATTAGTCAACTGAGCCAAAGCTTTTTGGCAATTTATTTTCTTAATGAAATGACAGGTAAGTGCCAATATATTTCATGTTATTCCACTTAAATTTGTCGCACATACTAGTATTGGTGAATTCCTTGAGAGCAGCACTTAATGTGTCACTTGGGCAGTTTTTTTTTTTTTTTTTTTTCAGAAAGAGCTGCTAAAACTAACGACCTTTGAGTACTTTCTATGGCTGCACAGAACATAATAAAATGAAAAGGTGAAAGTTGGCTCCCACCCATGTGTCCACAGTGCACTTGCAAAATCTTTACATACAGCAACTGGTGCACAAAAGAGGATTTTTTTTTCTTCTTTTGTGTTTGACTGTCTAAAAAATTGAAATCAAATAATGATCTTGCTTGTGCTGAAGTAACTATTTATTTATTTATTTGTGTCCACATCATCCAAAGGCATTGTAGAAAGGAGTGGTAAATGATTAAAAATTACCTGTTGCAGTAAAGGTTTTCACATTTTTATGGCAGCCTCGTGGAATTGCAGCTTCAAGGCAGTTCAATCATCTGTATAGCTAGTATTACTGCCCTTGTTCATCTTTGTGTCTTGGTATATAGTCAAACCCTTTTATAAAAGACACTGACTTGAGACAAATGGATATGAAAGACACCAGTTTGCCTACAGTAAAATACGGTTTGATAAGAAAATGCATACGAGGTCCTCTGCTTATAGGAGACATCTCATATAAAAGACCATAATTTCTGCTAGGAGCATGCCTCTTATAAAGGGGTTTCACTGTACATGATGGCAAGGTGTGCTGTGAAAACACTGCAGTTTGATTACAGATATGACCCACAGACGAATCGATGGGCCAAGGTGGCACCTATGAGCACCAAAAGGCTTGGGGTGGCGGTTGCTGTGTTGGGAAGTTATCTTTATGCCATGGGCGGCTCAGATGGCACATCTCCACTCAACACTGGTCAGTTATTGCACTATTTCTTCATATCTATTGCTGTATGTGAAAACTAGTTCAGTCAAACCCGCATAAATGAACCGACATATAAAGAATTATTTCACATATTCAACAGTTGTAAAATTCCCTTGAATACAATACCCTACATTGAACTCTTTTCTGGTATCCTGCAGATTGAATATATCCAGGTTTGGCTGTATCCATGCTCTGCATTGTTGTCATTGCGTACCATGTACACATACATAAGACCATGTTTAATTCTGCATGATGGCACTTGTTGCTTCACATGATGTTGTATAGTTCACGCCATCTCGCATGCATGAGCCATACTTCTCCCAACAATTCTTAAAATTGCAAAATCTAATTTGTACTTGCACTGGTTACAATTCCATTTGTATGTTTGCCAAAACCGAATCACTTTTATCACTATAGTATTAAAGTACATAGAGATGAGTATTGAGACTCATGCATGTAAGCTTGCTCATAATTATGGTAACTACTTCTCCGTTGTTACGTTTCAAACCGATAGCTTTTTTGACAAAAACATCCTTTTTTTATAACTGGCTTTCTTTATGTACGTTTGGATTTATATGAAAGACAGACCATACACATAATGCTTATAATGGGGGAAATTATGCCCAACATGAAAATATTGTCTTTAGTGGACATACTCGCTTTCAGTGACTATAGGTTTGACCAGAAAAAAAAAAAAAAAAAAGGAAATGGTTTCCTGAATTCATTTACTAGTTCAAGAATTGTGAAAAAGTGATAAAATAAATGCTAGTGCACTTGCATTAAGGGGAAACACGGGTTGTGGAGACCAAAAAAATCGCAAAAAAACTTTTCTTTTTTTTTTCGTATTTGAAATCTAAGCTACTAGTGCACTCATATCGTGAATTTAATGCCTATAATATCATTATTTTAGCCGCTAAGACCCTTTATAAGGTGCTTTCTAGCTAAATCAGAGCCGAAATCATCGTTGAAATCGCACATTTTTCGTGACGTGCCCCTGCCCTTTCATGTGTGCCAGCACGGCCCGCTTGGTCTCATTTGAGAGAGCTGTCTTTCCCCTTCAAATTCCCGCCAGAATGGGTCCAATTCAACCATTGGCAGCTTTAAAATGAGCGGCAAAAAGAAGTATCAGAGCGCCTTCCTATTTGCTTCTTCGCGCAGGTGACTTGAGCTTGCCTCCCTATTGGTGGAGGCTGCTGGCTTCGTCTGCTCTGAGTATTGAGGTGCACGTCTATTCGCGCCGTTTTGCCTCAGTGTCAGCGGAAGGACACGCGCCATTTTGCCTCAGTATCAGCGGAGAAGTTTCGCGATGTCAAATCCTGATCGCGAATTCCGCACGCGGCATAAGTTTGGTGCGAAAAAGGTGCGAAGGATGCTAGTAGCGAATTTCAAGAAGTGCTCCATGATACCGCGAAACCCCCGAGACGCTACACTCTCCGCGTCCCATGGCAAAGTCATCGACGCTACCACGGAAGGCCTAGCTGCCGCATCAGTTGTCACGGAGCCTGTGCAAAGTCCGTGAGCCGCGGAGCCTTCGAGTAGCGGTCGCGTGCGTCTAGATGCTATCTATCAGCAGCAATTTGACTTGGAAGAAGAGCGAGCTAAAGCCGAAGATAAGTTATCGGAGTGTTCGTTCGCTGCAGCGACGGAGCGGAAACGCGCATTCGTGGTTGACGGTGCCAATGAAGCAGCTCGGCCGCCTGATGGAACCACGTTCACAATTCTAGATTTGGAACGGCAGATACTTATAGAACTGCAGATTGTCCGCGACGACCGGGAATTCGGACTCGTCATGCAGTCGCGTTTTGTGTGTTCAACCTGCGGGAAGATTGCGTCGTTGTGGAGCTCGCCACGCGTACGTAGCGATTAACGCATGAAACCTTTTGCTGTGAACATTTTGGCCGCGCATGCCATGCAGGCAACGGGGAACAGACAGACACGCTGAATGATGTGTTCTCGTTGATGGCATCAGCTGTCAGGTTCTTCACACAAAAATGTGGCAACACTACGTGAAGACGAAGTTGGCACTCGCGGCCGATCGGGCTGCATGCAATTTGACGAGCGACTGCGTGCGGTCAGTTCGCGAACTTTACGCCGAACTTAATATAGGCCACATGGGAAACATCGCAGTGTCGTTTGATGGATCATGGATGACTCGCGGTCATTCGTCGCATATGGGTCTTGGCACCGTCATAGCATTGTTCAGCGGGCTAGTGCTTGACTTTGTTGTTTTGAGCAACTTTTTTGCTGGATGCGAGTCGGGCCCAAAGGAAGGTGACCCTTCTTACGCAGCGTGGAAGGAACATCACCAGTGTCAGAAAAACAGTGACAAGAAGGCTGGGGAAATGGAGATTGAGGCTGCCCTCATCCTCTTCAGGAGGTCACTTGAGCGGCACAACCTGCGCTACACCACAGTGCTTCGCGACGAGGACAGCCGCAGTTACCTTTCGCTACAAGAAAATAAGGTTTATGAGTATACCTCAGTGGAAAAGGAGGACTGCATTAATCATGTCCAAAAGCGTATGGGCACTGCTTTGCACAATTTGATTGCAAAACACAAAGACCCTGGCCTTGAGAGTATTGAGAGGAAAGGGCCGCTTGACAGGAGACCTGATCTCCAAGCTCACCAATTAATATTGGTGGGCTCTGAAGACACACAGTGGTGATGTTGATGCTATGCACACAGCAGTGATGGCCTCTTATCATCACATCACGTCCAATGATGATGTGGCAAACCACACTCTGTGCCCACCTGGTTCAAATTCCTGGTGCAAACAAAATGGGGCAAAGGCCAAGGTGGAGCCCATTCCCAAACATTGTCGAAAGCTGCCTCCGCATGTCTGCCAAGCCTTACTTCCCATTTATGAACGCTTGTCAGACAGAAAGCTGTTGCAACGATGCCAGCGAGGGAAAACCCAAAATAACAACGAATGCCTGCATCCAGTGATCTGGGCACTGGCACCAAAGGAGCGACTTGCTTCGCTATTCACGGTGGAGGCAGTCAGAAGCAGTGCTCAAGTTCAATGCAGGCAATAAAAAGGCATCGGAAAACATTATGAAAAAGCTGAGCCTAAACCCCAGCTGGCAATGCCGCAGCCGCATGGCTGAAAAGGATCGACGGCGCACGGCATCAGTCAAGAAGCCACAAGCAACGAAGAACATGCACCAGTCCCTGAAAAAAGCGGATCGACGGCGCACGGCATCAGTCAAGAAGCCACAAGCAACGAAGAACATGCACCAGTCCCTGAAAAAGCGCCACACAGGGACTCATAGTCAAAAGGAGTACACTCCCGGTGCAGACTGAGCATTTTCAAGTGCAGTTATGTAAATGAATGAGTTTTATTTCTTTTTCTCAGTTTTCTGAAAGCATGCTTTTTGGTGACTTTACTAGTTTGTCGGGTTGATATCTTGCAATCTAGAACAGCTAGAGCAATAATTTTTTCATTAACGTAAAGTCCTATCTATGTATTACAAAGTGCTGAGAGCAGAATTTCCATTTGCTGCCCATATAAATTCAGAAGGTATGAAATTTCTTTGTATGTGATAGCCATGACATGACTCCTCAACTTTCATCATCTGCAGAATCACTAGTTTTTCTTTAATTTGAAATCTGCTTGCAGCATTGCACTTATTGCTAATTGCACTGTCTAGCTATGCAATAATATTTACTTTTTGATGAGCACTTTCTTTTCTATTGTGTCCGAAATCAGCAGAGTGACAGCATTGTGCATCTTCTAAATTAATTGCCCTACAATGAAAATTTGTGCATATTTGAATTGAGCAGGAGAAACTACATAAGCATGTATATCTTCATCATGTTTGGTCCACAAATGCAGAAAATATCTCCACACACAATGTGTCCCCCTTAAGCTATTAAGGAAGAAGTAGATAAGCATTGTTGTGCATGGAAGTACTAATCATGAAGACCACCCCCCCTCCCCTCATGAGTATGTGATGGCTAACTGCAGAACATTTTCACAATATTCGCCAACAAAGTCTATTGAAAAGCTCTGCACTATGAGGCACACATTTCATCTGCACTGAGCATGAATTATCATAGTGCTGGCAATACATTATTGTGAAATTTATTAGGGTAAATTAGAGCATGTAACGGCTTCAGTGGATGTCATCGAAATTTGCACTTTAGTAGCAATTCTGTGGGAAAGCTGGGAGGTTATCAACCTGAATTTTAAACAAGAATTTCTGGGTATACAGTGTATAATATTACTGTGATTGTGGAAAGCCAGTAGCGTTTCTCAATTTTAGACTTTGCTTCCCCCCTGTTTATTGTTTCAGTGGAGCGATATGACCCACGAACCAACCGCTGGAGTTCGGTGGCATCAATGGGCACTAGGCGCAAGCATCTGGGCTCGGCAGTATACAGCAACATGATTTATGCTGTTGGTGGTCGTGATGACACTACAGAGCTTAGCAGCGCTGAACGCTACAATCCACAGTTGAACCAGTGGCAGCCAATAGTGGCCATGACTTCACGACGCTCTGGGGTCAGTAATTTCAAATTCTGGTGGAGGGTAGCTTGTCTCTGTGTCACTGTGTAGACTTCTGCTGGCTTATGCACTGTCTATGACTGCCTTACCTGAAGTTATTATATAATAGGCAATGTAACGATAAGGGAGGCCTGTTGACGTGGCTGTTTTTTTTTTTTTTTTTTTTTTTTTTTTTTTTTTTTTTTACGGTTGTTGTCAAAGTCACTGATGCAAGTACATTGCACCTATAGCAAGAAGATACACGCGCACTCAGTGCCCTAGAATTGCTGAAATGAGCATACTCTATTTGAATAATAATAATGACTCCAGTTTTAATAGTTCTTTTTTTTTTTTTTTTTGTAAAGTGTTCCACTGGTATTGTTTAGGCACCGCAAGAGCCATAGAGTCCATACATTCTTTACATCATACATTTTTCGTACCTATGCAGGTTGGACTAGCAGTAGTGAATGGGCTTCTTTATGCTGTGGGTGGATTCGACGGCACCACTTACCTGAAGACAATTGAAGTGTACGACCCTGAACAGAACCAGTGGAAACTGTGTGGAAGTATGAACTACCGGCGCCTTGGAGGTGGAGTTGGTGTTGTAAGACTTCCACAGCATGAGGCACACTACTGGTGAAAACAAAGCCAACTCATTGGAGCTGCCCACAACCTTTTTGTGGGCCCATGAATTCGGAGACATTGAATCGCCTCAGAGGTTGCAATCTTCATACATACGAAGGACCTTGGTGGTTTTAAATTGTGCACCAGTAATTGAAGTTGGCTGAAAGGCTGAGCTAAATATATTGACTGGCCAGTTCTGCTGTATACAACTTCGTGTTCATATTTGCAACCGAGATTCATTGGTATTGACAGGCATTATTGCTTGTTTCCTTGAGTTGCTAAAAAAATAATCTTGTACCATACCTGGGGAAGCTTCTTACTGTATATTTTTTATATGTACATTTTAGGCTACAATTGCATTAACTTGTCTAACCATGTTATTGCTATTGTTTGTCAGAGACAGCACTTTGTTTGCGACTGATGACTAGGCGTGCACCATTATTGTCATGTATGACTTGGCTAGCTGTTTTAAATACTCACTACACCAATGCTGTTAGTGCCTGTGAAGGGAGGGTTCAAAAGCTGTGTGTGACAGGTATGAATGTTCTTGGAAGGTATGAAAATGTTTTTAAGCTTCCCCACTATGCACAACCAACTCTACACATACTGTGGCAACCACAGGCTCCTCAATTTCGGTATCCTTTCTTATCTTGTACTGCTAGTGCCGTACCAACGGTATAATATTTGGCATGTTGGGGAACAAGTTCTGTACACACTGAACCACTTGATTTACCTTCTCTTGCATAAACAATAAAGATCTGCAGAAAAGACTTATTTTCAGTGTTGACCGTTTTGGACAATGTTTACGATTGAAAAATGTAAGTAGTTTGCCATTGCAGTGCATCAATGTTGAATTTTTTTACCAAACCATCAGCATCGAGTTGGAGAAAATTTGACAGTGAGTTTAATTATCTGTCATTACTGAAAGGTTATAGTTGGAGGTAAGTGTCCTTGTATACATTTTAACAGATTTTTTATATCCTCAAATTTACATTGAAAGGTATGCTGTACATGTGACATGCACAGCTATGCATTTTCACATTGTTTAGTACATCTGCACTTCCAGAGATGATCAGGAAAACCTATGTGCTGTAAAATCAACAGCAAACCATCAATAACAATTCAGAAGTGTAAGTGGTAATAGTGCTGGATGTACCATCTGGAACTTGTGAACAGAAAACAAATATAAAGAAATGCTGTGTCTGTGCAGTTGCCCTACAAAGCAAAAAGAACTGCTTCAGTGAATAATGCAAACACTGGAAACAAAATTCTTTTTAGTTTTTTTATATAAAAAAATTGTTGAGTGAACAGTTTTTTGGTGTACTTATGTAAATATTGTAGATATAACATTCAAAATATTTTCTTTAATAGAATTTTTGTAAAGATGTATGTTTTCGTAGTATCTATAAATGGAACTGGCCACGAAAGTGCTGGAATCTCAAAATTGTGTAGGGTACCGTCTAAGCCGAATGATAGTTGTCTTAACACATCCATGGGGAAATAAATTACTTAGTGGTACAAATTTCTTCATTCTGCATTGCCGGTTTAGGGATTTTAATCCGTTTATAGAATGTGAAAGGAATGTTAAATTCAAGAATAGAATCAAAAAAGAAAAGCCATTGCATCCGTATTCATTCCATGCACACCATGTATTAATAGCATTAAACCAGTTTCATTCATCTCGGCAGCACCAGCCTCGAGAATATAGGCTATCTACTGCTGCAATGTGCCATACCAGTTGTATGTGCAGCAAGACACTATCTCACCAGAAGAGTTACACGTGTCTGTTTAAGGGAAAGCTTGTGGGTGTGGACTGATAAATATCGTAGTTTGAGTCTCTCAATCTTGGCACATGTTAAGTAAGGGCATAGGGTAAGGCTAGTTAATAATGCAGTCTAACCTTGTTGCAATGTGTGTGACAAGGCTAGTTAATACAGTGTGAAGAAATGGTGAAACAGCAGACAGACTAATTGAAAAGACTAGGTGGTTCCTTTGTTCCCTGTTTTACTACATCACCTGCTCTTTATTTGTGCACAAAAAAAAGGAAGGGAAGACAAGCACTCACGTACACAACTAAGCATAGCTGCGGCAGCACTTGCCACAGAAGCTTAGCGGCTAAGATACATTTCTCTCTTAAATTTGAAGGTGCAGGTTCGATTCCATATTCCCAGCCATGGCAGCTGCATCTAACCTAATAGAACACTCAGAATTTAATTCAGCCTTGGCACTTTTATATAGCTGAGACTCTCTGGATTCTGTGCTGACAGATTCGCTCTCTGCCATCTCCCGACGCCGTGAAGCGCTCGCCAAGTGGTACGTACGCGTCCTCGCACTCCTTCTACCGTGTCCCCATCCTTCTCTTTCATATCTTTACTTCTCCTTTTAACCCCCAGCCCCCTTATTCCCTTCCCTCAGAGCCACTGCTAAGGTGTCCCACTTAGATGCAGACAGTTGCGGGGCTCACTCTTCACTCATTTAAGAATCACTTCCCCCCCATGTGGCTGCTCTAGCCCTCCACACGGGCGGCAGAGCACACTGAATGATTCTGCACTCTTTCTTGGTGGCAATCTGCAATAGGGGAAAAGGCTGAGCAAGCCAAGATGGTTTGTGCGTTTGTGTGTGCTTGTTAATTGTTGCATTATCTCTGTTTTTGAGAGGCTTAGAAGCAAGATGCAGTCAATCAGAGACCTTTATTTCGTCCTGAGGAGACCAGTGTGGCCCAGTCTGGGGGTCCCACCCATGATGGCGCCGAGGTTCAGGCTCTCGGCGACTTCGCGGGCTCTCTGGACAGCCCTTAGCTGCTGGTCTTTTGCGAAGATGGTGATGAGCTGAAGCCAGTCTTATTCGGTAGAGAGAGACCCTGAACCCCCGCGCAAGCCGTGACACTGCCACAGCATGTGTTGAAGGGTCTGTCTCAGCCCAACATTCAACTAGCCTTCACTAATATGTGCGCGTGCGTCTCAGTGGGGGAAGTTGAATGGTGTGTTGTCTGTGTGTTGGGGGGGGGGGGGGGGGGTCTGCCTCAGCAGATCAGTGGCTATGGTGCTCGGCTGGCGACCCGAAGGTCGCGGGTTAGATGTCTCATTTCGATGGATGTGAAATTGGAGAGGCCGGTGTACTGTGTGATATCAGTGCACGTTAAAAAACAGCAGATGGAAAATTTCCAGAGCCCTCCACTACAGTGCCTCTCATAATCATATATCGTGCTTTTGGGGGTAAAACCCCACACATTAGAGAGGCCCTGATACACTTTTTCCAAGTAACCATGGGATAAATTCACTGGAAGAGCTTATTGCCTATGAATTCAATGCCGCACAAATGTTAAGAATCCGTCCATTGCGAGTGGATTTACAAAGATATGTCGCATGCTTCCCTCGTCCCGACGAAAGTGCCGGAAGCTAAGCAATTGGGATGACAGGGGCTAAGAAACTACGTCACCGCGCCTCGGGACCTTGAGCACTTTTTTTTCTTCAAATGCGAGGCTTTTTTAGTGTGATCTTGCGCGTTGTCGCGTCCTCCCCCGGCGATCTCTGTAACGACCGAGCGCGCCATGTTCAAATCATCGAATGGCTGATAGATCAGCTTGTTACGTGTGATTTTTGAGCGTGTTGTGTCATTTGTCGAGAGAAGAGAAAGCAATCTTTAGATGACCTTGAAATTTGTTGTGGATTCCAGGCCGCGTGCTGCACTATGATATTGGGCTCGCGTGTTGTTGGGAGCCTCTACCGATCAGCAGCGTTTTCTGACCATGCAAAAAAGTGTTGCAGGGCCCCTTTCATTGAGTGTGTGTGTCTAATATACATATATATGTTGCAACTGTGTACTTGAAAAGGACAATTGTCATTTTCAAGTACACAAAACTGGTTGCAACAAGTTGCAACCAGTTTTCGAAAATTGTGGGCAGCTTTATTTTAAGTAAGTGCTGGGGAAGTTCAATGTTCCCTCTTCCTGTACTACACTTTTTTCAATAGTTCTATGATATCAGGTTGTTCGCACACCTCGAGATTGGCTTGATACGGGCATTTCGCTTGTATTTCTTTAGCTGTCACCTTGCGATTTTATTTACGTTGTAATTTGGCTACTGTGTCCCGTATAGATGAAGTCGTTCTTCCTCGCCTTGCTTTCGGGCAGGTTTTTCCTGTACAACGCAATTAATAGAATTTAGCCATGATCTCTTCTCATCATTTGACGTAAAAGAACAGACTGACTGTGTATTTTTGGATTTTAAAAAAGCATTTGATTCTGTCCCGCACTCGTTGCTGCTCCATAAGTTGTCTTTTCTTGGCCTACATCATGATGTTGTCCAGTGGATAACAGGTTATTTGCATAATCGTACCCAATGTGTCCTGATAAACGGCTGTAAATCAGGTGCTGTGAATGTTAGTTCTGGTGTTCCGCAGGGGTCTGTTCTAGGGCCCCTGCTTTTTCTTGTATATATTAATGACATTGTAAGTAATTTGTCCTGCAAAGTACGCCTTTACGCAGACGACTGCGTTGTTTATCGCAGTATCAAAAGCCCACTTGACATGGACTATCTTCAAAGCGATCTCGACCATATCCAAACGTGGTGTGCAAAATGGAAAATGACTTTGAATATTGCGAAATGTAAGCACGTTTCCTTCACACGCAGTCGCAGCCCTATTTTATCAAAATACACTTTGGGAAGTACGCATCTTGATACAGAGCTAGATTATAAGTACCTCGGCGTCTATTTTTCATCTAACCTAACCTGGAAACGTCAGATTGAACACGTGTCCGTTTCTGCTTCCCGCATGCTCAACTTTCTAAAACGCAACTTCAGTGATGCTCCTCCAAAAGTTAAAGAACTTTTATATTTCACTAACGTAAGATCCATTACGGAGTACGCCTGCACCGTGTGGGACCCACAATTTGAAAATTTATGTACACTGCTAGAACGCGTCCAGAACCGCGCCGCCCGATTTGTAACTAAAATTATAGTTTTCGCACTAGCATTACATTACTTAAATCAGAGTTGGGCTGGGAAACACTAAGTAAACGTCGGTTGCATCACAAACTTGAACTACTATATCGCATTTATTTCAATAAGACTGGTCTTGATCCTAAAATTTTCTTACTAACCCCGCACTTTGTATCTAAGCGACGCGACCATGAATGGAAAATTCGTGAAATTGATTGCCGTACTGATGTGTACAAGGGTTCTTTCTTTCCCCATTCCATTGAGGCCTGGAATAAACTACCTGGTAATATTGTTAATTGTACATCTGATGCTCTGTTTCACACGTTTTTTGTCGCACATGTAAATTTTTCATTGTGGCACTGCTTGTACATTTGACGCGCTATTGTGCAGATTTGTGCCACTTACTCTCATGTCAGTTCTCTTTTTCCTTTTCTTTCTTTTATTTTTTCCCCATATGATGAATCGTATTCATGCATATACCCCCCTGCTGTAATGCCTTGTTGGCGCTGCAGGTAAAATGAATAAATAAATAAATTAACGCTGACGGCGAGATCCACTCTTTGTCGGCACTGAGGTTCGCTAGGGAGTACGCACAATAGTTCTTGGAGAGTCTCCTCTACAGTGTTTATGGCGGGAAAGATTCTCCACCAGCCAGCACCTTCCTATTGGCTGCTAAATCCCCTAGAAGTAACTAAAGTAGAGCCATTCGTGGTAGTATGCAGGATTCTCTTCGCCTCTGTGCATGGTTCTGCCAGAAAAATGTGTGACTCCGCACCTTTCGTGGCTGCTCGCGTGACATCCGAATAGTACCGGTTCGCTCTGGCGTTTCTTTGCG